CTCCCGCCCTGCCCGGGCCGCATCGGTAACCCGATAACGCCCCGGCAGCGGTCCCACCGCCGGGTAATTGCAGGACGGTAACGTGAGCTGATGTCGGCCGGGGATGGATCCTCGTCGTTATTGATAGTGACAGCTAAATTGTTAACCGAGAGGGAAATCAGATGAAAGCCATTTTAGAATAAATACAAGACATTAGGCTTAAACATTGAGGTTGCAAGAAACCCCCAGGAAACTCAGCCCAAAGGCACGCCAGCTCGCCCTCCCCACCGTCCTCCTCTCTGCAGTGACAGGAGACTCAGACAAGTGCGGTGGAGCAGTCAGTGAGACTGAGAAAGGGTCTGAATATACCACAACTGCTTCAGAAAAAAAAATGTAGGATTTTTCACAGACACGGCCATGAAAGCCATCTGCCCCCTACGCAGTGCCAGTCAGAACAGGGCAACGCAGGTCTCGTTTGCAGTGGAGGGTAATGCAGGGCTTGTACACCACAACGCACTTTCCTTAGTGATCACAGACCATGCATCCTGGGCCCTGCAAAGTCAGAACAGGCTCAGGAGCGAGGTGCCTCCAACCCAGCCTCTGCCTTTCCCCAGCCTTGGGATCAAATCCTGGCCAGGGGGCAGCCACTCTCCAGCCGTCGCTGCCTGCCAAGAGGAGGTAGAGCTCCAAACCATGAATTACCTGGCTGCCTGCTCCAGGAACACGGCCTGGGCAGTGCTCAGGAAACATAAAGCAGCGGAGTCACTGGGTGTTAGCACCAACTTCACCTCCTTCCTTACCTCCACCACCCCTGGAGCTCATACAAGGCAGCGACAAGGAAGCCGCACATCAACCAGCCACTCAGCCAGAATCCTGAGATTTGGCATTGGCCATGGTCAGTGTTCCTGTGGGTGAAGGGATGATTTCCTGCCTGTCCCGAGTCAGGGAACATCAGCAGGGGCAGGAACATTATTGAAATACTGAGGAAAAACCCACACTGTGGGCACAATGAACATCGTCCTTGGTAGCCCACCTCACACCAGGGATTTGCTTGAAATACAGGGAGCAAAGAAACCCCTGAGGGGACAGGACCACGTGCCAGGGGTAACAAACAGCCCCATGGTGCCTCCTCAGGGGACCTTGGTGCCAAGCCCAGCTCTCCTCCCCACCACCGGCCTGCCAACCTCCATACTTACAGCTTCAGAGCCAGCCGCATCCTCCTCCAACGCAATGCCATGCTTCTCAGTGCTCTTCAAACCCATTTGACGGTCAATGAGCAAAGCCCAAAACTGACGCCCATGAAAAGCCATTACTGAGCATTTACCTTCTCCCAGCTCCAGGGTTAGGAAGTCTCCAAGGCCTGGGGCCTTTGGAAAGCCATAGCATTCCTGGGAAAGAATGACCAACACCAACCTGCAACAAAGCTCCCCCAGGTCTGGGTCTGGCCAGCCAACACACAAGGGACTTTTGTGAGCGACTGCGGTAGTGCAAATAAAAATAATGAAAAAAAAACCCCAACACTGATGCTATTGTACCGAGATCTGTATCAGTGGATTCCGGCTGATGCCAAGCATTTACCACCCTCACTTCCTGCTTGCCACCCTCGCTCTCCTGGAGGAAAACATGCATTTTCAATGTTTATTTAGAGCCGTAAGAATTTCAACAAATTGTATTTAAATACAAATAAATATCAAAGTGTATTTCTGATGGGACCACCACCACACACCCGATTTGAATCTAGGCATTTTAAAAATTCCTAATAGAAATGTAATTGATTGCTGTTCTAAATAACACAGATACCAACCCAGAGGACTACAAACATTAGACCACGCAAGAACAAAACACAGGCTGTTCACAGAGGAATGCAAACGGGTGTTATTGACATTCATAGGGGTACAAACTCCCAGTGATACTACTTTTCTCTTTCCTCAGGTACCCAAAAACTAGAAAGCAAATATTTAACAGCACAAGACCTACTTTTGAACAATTGCTTTTACCAATCCATCCATCACACACATGCACAGCTCCATCCCGGGCGCTCGGTTCAGAAGCGGGAAGCTCAGTTTGGAGGTAGGTGCACTGCCGCAGGAATACAAACCTCACTTTGCTACACCAGCGAGCAACACCTGCGTGCAGAAACCAGGGGCTGTTTAAAAGTAATTTTCTATCTCTTGTTTGGGACCACTGTTAGCCAGCTTGGGGAAGCAGCTCAGGAGTGACCAATGAGGTGAAGATTCACCACTGAAAGGACTGGAGAGAGCAGACACCAGCAAAATCAGACCAGAGCCTCCTGGACCCAAGTGCATGCATTCTCCAACATCCCCCTGGCGCAGGCGGTCACAGCACCGCATGTACCAAGAAGAAAACACTGCCATGGTATTTCATGCTCGGATTTCTAGCTTGCAGAGAATGTGCTGCAGATCAACTGGTTTAAGTGAAAATGCCATCCAACAGGCTTGCAAATCAAGCACCTGGTGCAGGTGATCCTCAGCACAGCCCAGCATGACTTCACACCAAAACCAGAAGCTGGGCTGGCTGGTGGGCAAACACCGAGATCTTGTGCTTGACAGGTGTCTGGGGGCTGCAGTGCTACTCTCACTCTGTCACATCTGGTTTACAAACAGCTACCACTGAAAGATTACCAATGCAAAGAGCAGATACACCACCGCTGTACTCTGAAGCTTACAGCACAGTGCAGACCTCCACGGTGTGTAAATCCCTACATGGAGGCACACACCTACAGCCTAAATGACACTGAAAATACCTGTGCTGTGTCATGACTTAAGGTTACCATATCACAAAATCATACCTTAAAGTTTGCAAATCAATATGCAAAATAAATTTGCTTTGGTGCATATAAAATATTGCACGCACAGTTACTTAAGGTGTTGCAAAATCTATTTTAAATTAGTTTTATTGAGATGTAAAGGTTTTCCACGGTAACTACAGAATGTTAATCAAAACCAAGTGCTTCCCCTCCATTAAAAACATGAATTGGAATACTTTTTGTTACAAAATACTTTAAAAAGTAATCAGTTAAATGGAGTATTTTTGGATGTGCTTCAGTCCATACACCGGTGACTGTTTCTAATCCTGCTAATGAAAGCACACTAACAAGAGGCTGTCTGTGTGCTCATCAGAGGCTCTGAAGGGAACCTGCTTTCCTGAACAGCATTCAGCTGCAAAGCTGCACTGGCAGTGAGGAGTATTCTGCAGACACCCGAGGCGTTACCAAACACCATGCCATGCAGAGCGGCGTTGTGCTCAGGTGGCAGCGTCCTTTCACTCTACAAAAGCATCGGAGGACTCCAGGTATACAAAGCAGTGTTTCTTGCTACCATTATCCATTCACAAGCATCATCTTCTAGATTTCCAGGCAGCTCTGGAGTAAGGAGTAGTCCTTTTCTTATCCGGTGGTTTGAAGTAAGAATAAACCGGCGCTGCTGCATATTCGGCATCTGGATTTTCTGCCATCATTTTCAGCTTGGCTTCAATGGCCTTAATTTTTGCACTGACACTGGAAAGAGGAAAAGCAGAAGAGAAATTTATAGCTTGATCTTAGCATGGGATCAGGCTACAGCAATTCAGAGATTTTGTTGACATGTGAATACTTAGTCACACGAGGAGGGGCTAATCCCCCGTCACTGCATTCACGAGCAGCGTGAAGTTGGGAGGCAGGAATCTGCTGCTTAAAGCCCACGCTATTTCATTTCAATCCTCAGCATGGATTTGCTTAGGAAAGGTCCTCCAAGATCCATCACAGCATCACAAAATAACGGTCTTTGCACCTACTCAGCACTTTCTTGAGGATACTGAGCACAAGTACACAACAAGGCTTCCTACTTCATACCAAATGATCTCATTTAGAGAGCTCTGAGCATGTGCAGCAGAGCGCAGCTCAGACCAGGCTGCTGGGAACAGCAGAAGCAATGAAAGCCAGACTTCCTCCCTGCAACAAGACCGCTCGGGATGGGAAAACCCCAGGCTCCAATTAGGTCAGGAAGAAACATTATTTCAGCGTTAGCAGGGTTTATCCCAAAGGGAGAGGCTATCCCAGGTTACACCCCAAATTCCTAGGACTTTCGTTATTCTCTATTCTCCATTGGGGATGGACGGAGGAATGTTCCCTTCTCCACTGTGGCTCTTTGCAGCATCCATCCTCACTAAAACCACTCCTTTGTGCCACTAACACAGCTTACAATCTGCATGACTCAAGTCTCTCTGCTCATTACTTCCTAGCATGTTACTTCTGAACTCCAAGCTCATTTTATCTGGAGGCAAATTCATTATCCCCAGTCCTGGTTCCTTACAGGACTCCACTAGCAGAACACAGAGGAAAAAAAAACATGTATCTTTTCAACCAAACTGTGAATTGGCAAAGCAGCACCACATGCTTTAGGTAAGCACAAGGGTGGGAGAATTTAACCACATCCCTCAGAGAAGACGTACCAGCCTTAAGAGTGGCAAAGAAAAAAAATACTACCTCTGATTTTGTTTTAATCTTTCACTACTACCATAGAAATCCTTGCTCATAAGCATTTTGCTTAATCAAATACGTACAAAACCTCTCACTGAAATTCATATGAAAAAGTGCAAGCACATTCTGTTACACATTCCCAATTTCCCTCCTTGCCTCTTCTTCCTACTGCCCTGGGAGCTTCACACGTTAGAAAACGAACTTCAAGTCTGAAGTGTCCCACACCAAATGAGTTACTGTGCAGCATGCTGCCCTTCTAATAACAGCTTTTCTGCCATGGTAGATTCTGAGCACAAAGGTAATGTGAACAACTCTAGAGCTTACTGAAATCAAATAATTTCATTTCCTGCCACTCCTGCAGTCTGATCACCTGGCAGCCCCCCATCTCCTACCTTAGGTTAGACTGGGGCGGCTCGGTGCTGGAAGACGGCTCCAGACTGATTGGAAGGATCTTCTCATTTTTATTGTGATCATATCTCTGTGAACAAGAGACCAAGGATTGAAGTAGGTGGAATTAGAAACAAAGAAACATTTGCCCCTAGGTACACTTTAAAGTTGGGTTAACATCACCTGTGATTTTGTGAAGCTTCTCCTAGGAATTATTTTGGTGGCCAAACACTGAAACAAATCCCAACCACAATATTTGTTTAGTACCAACACGGAACGTAGACTCTGATACTGAACACTTACACGCATTGTACTATGGATCCTGAAATCTTGCCGCTTCTTGTTCCCCTCTATGTAAGTCAATGAAGCAAAGATGGTAAATTTTAAGGTAACTATTTTAACTGTACTGCTATGGTCTTTATACAGACATTGTCAGAGTCTGAAGGTAACCCAAGCACACAACTGCCCAGAATTGGGCAGTGCTGGAAGGAGAAAAAAAAAAAAGAGATATATAAAAAGATCAGTTAGGAACCACCTCCTTTCTGCAGAAAGCAGCCTGTGAGTCTGTCATGTCTGTGGGCAACGGGCCTCCTCAACTGTTCACAGTGCTCCGCTTGGCACAAAGTCAGGTTTGTTTTTCAGCAGAGCTGCTCAAACCGAGTGTCTGCTAAGCCTTGGCCACTCATCTTAAAAATACCAGCACTGTGCTAAGTAGTGTCTAAAATAAACACTTGTTATAAGAAGCCAAAGTTTAGTATTGTTAAATCTTTCCATTCACAGATTGGAAAATGCCATGTGAAGCAAACTGATGATTTATGCGTGCTCCTCGCCATACCCCGGCCAGCCAAGCTCTGAGCCACCCCACTGAACTCCCAGCTGAGCAGACGGTCGCTCTTCTGCCCGAATCCCCTTTTATGGCCTGATCATTCCTCAGGCATCCGGAAGCACGTGGTGCTCCAGCAGCCGCAGAGCTGAAGAAGATGGAGACTGGATTCGCAGAAGCTTAGATGTGATGAGAGCCTGAAGTCAATAATTAAAACAATGTGGTCTCCTTTAATAAAGATACCTGGTTTTGTTTTTTGCAGCATCCAAAACAGATGCACTGGTGTATTTGATAAGAGAAAAGGTTGAAAGCTGCTTGTAGGATAATTGGCACATGCTACAACCCAAAGAAAAACAGCAAAAAGCACCTCCCCCCAAATCCATTTATCTGCAAAGGAAGTTACTCAAAATAAATCGCTTTATCAAACAACAGAGTAAATAACTGCAGGAGAAACAAGACAAGAATTAAAAAACAAACAAAACAAAGATGTTTCTGAAGGTACTGCCCAAGTTAATATTAAAAACTTGATGTTTTATGTGACAGAGCAAGTAATAAAAGGATATTTAGTTTAGACGTGAAATGTGTTGCTTTAAAGTCAGAAGTAATTAGAGCTGCTGCCACATAAGTGCTTTCAGAAGTAGAACAAAGCAACAAAGTACTTGGGAATCAGGAATTTCCATGCATCTCCTATCCAAAAAGGGAGCAAAACCACAAAGTGAACCATCAGACTTTCGGCCAATGATTCACTGATTTTGGGAAAAGTTAAAATGTGGACATGTATGGAAGAAATCTGTTCACACCACTCTGATCAGAAGCTCCCTTACAAAGACCATCATAAATGGCCTATTCTCACTCACAGCTAACGCAGCATGGTTTAGGTAGATGAGAGCAGTGGCAGATTGTTCAGACCATTTCTATGAGCTATTTCCTAGAACAGACAAATTATCTTGCCAGGCTAAGAAAGCTTTGATAATGATTGTTCCTTAATATTAAAGTTTTTCAATTTTGCAAATTAAAAGCAATTCTTAATCACAAGCAGCAGCTTACCTTGACTTGTGCATGTGCCCACCGCACCACCAGTTTCTTGGAAAGGGCCAGCTTCCCATTGAGACACTGGATCGCCTTCTCTGCTTCCTGCACAGGAAGACAGTTCAATAAACAAACTGAGTCCTTAGTCAAAACCAACAGAGATGTAAAGAGCCTTTTTTCTTTGTTAATCAGTCTTCTGTAAGTACAGCTAACTGACAGCAAAGAAATCTTATCCCATTGTATCCCAATCCAGGAATTTCTTTGGAAGACTCCAACATTTGAGTAACCAGACTTTAATCAGCCTCATCAGTTTATTCTTTCATTTATTTTGGGTGAGAGAATGGGGAAAACAATCAGGAATTTTGAAAATACCAAACAGAAAGGCTACTGGAACAGCATTCTGAGGGAGGTTTATGCCACAGGCGTTTCTCTACAAAATACTGTGACTCATTACAGTGATTGCATGTGTCTCACTAACACCTGCCTATGCTTATTCCAGATCCTGCTCAAGTGCACTGGGACATTACCCACCTGGTCCTGTTCTGGGCTCAGTGGAATCTGTTTTGGGACACTCCCATAAAGCTTGATTCACAGCAGTTGAACATAGATATTGCAATGCCATTCCACCTGGCTATAATTTTCTAGAATTAATGCACTACAAAAGTGGACCAAAGAACTGGCCCTTTCCAGTTAGCATTAGAAAGCAGGATTCAGGAAAGGAGAGCAGAGGAGAAAGGAAATCACTATTGCTACTTCCAGGACTAGTCACAGAGCGGCTGTCACAGTTTGTGTAGACAAGGTATTTAGTCCATCCCTCCCCGTTTTATCTTTAACATAGAAAAAAAGAAAAAGATGGGGAAAGAAGCCAATAATTTCAATCAGAAATTTAGATAAAAGTAACATACCTGTTTGGTTTCAAAGTTCACAAAACAATAACCCCTCGGCTGCCCTTCCAGAGCACCAGACTTGTGAAAGAGAAAGTCAAATTGCTTTACTTTGCCAAACTTCTGAAGGAGTTTGAGAAGGTGGTACCTGAAGGGGAGAGAAGACATTCATGACACCTTTCACCACTTTCAAAGTATGGAAGCAGAGAGGACCCCCCTGACACACACACGATTCACACTCAGTAACGTAAGCAGTCCAGTTGTGCCACACGTGTTTCCAAATACCGACAGGGGTGGGTGCTCTGTACAGCAATGCCTCAGCATCCACAGCTCAGAGCTGCATCTTCAGCGACTGCTCCAAAACCCCAAGGCTCAAAGCTTTCCCCCCAGTGGTGCCAGCTGAAGGGCACACAGAAAATCTATTAATAGTTGGCTTCTGGGCAATTATGCAATGCTTTGCTAGGACTCGAGGACGGCTTTGCCTCCTACCTCTCTCCATCATACCTACTTTCAAGCAGAAACATCATGCTCCCCCATCATACAGAAACGCGGCTGCTCTGCCACTCATCTGGCAGAGCTGGGGAAGCAGGAAGACATAAGAAAAAGCAGAATAAACTGCAAGCAGGAATTGACAGCAGACCAGCCAAAAAAAAACCACCAAACAAACGGCACCAGACAGACCTCGGTATCATCCAGGCCAGATCTGCCAGTGCTTCTGGCTCAGACAGCTTTTCAGCAACATGCACATAAAAGTCAGACACTTATTTAGCCAATTATCCTCCTGCCATCCAGTGGGGAGTGTGCTGTTTCCAATAAAAGCGAGGAAAGCCGGAGTAAATCTGTCTGCTTAGCATTCAGTGTGCTGAGCAATTTAAAATAAGGAGCACATTTGTTGGACAGGCCACATCTAATCCTGAAAGTTCTCTGCAGCATTTTTTTGGTTGCTTGGATCAAAGTGTTTAACACCACCAGCTGACCTAGAAGGAAAATGACACCTATTTCACCACCTGACTCCATCTCTAGCGTTTAAGAATTGTCTAAGGGTTTAATAAGGGCGTCTTTGTCAGGACTTATCTTCTCCTACAGCATTTGTTAGCAAATCATGTAGTCTAAGCCAAATTTTCCGCTAGCAAGATAACGCTCAGCGCTCTGAAAGCCAACCAGGATAACGCAACGTGCACGTGAAGGCACTGGACAAAACCTCATGTGTCCGGCCATGAATGGTCAGTGGTGGTCCAAGACAGTCAAATGCACCAGGCACCTTTAGGGACACTCCGAACAGGAAGGGCAGACAATATTTTTCCTAATAAAGCCCGATAGGATGTTTGAAAAGGGCTTTAGCCCTTTGTTAAGCTCCAGAAGCCAGGCAAGAAAGTTCCAGGAACGTGACTCATCTCACAGGATGGTCACGGTGGACACTCCGGATGTGCACTTCTAAAGAGGTGAAGGTGCAGCAAGTGTTCAGACAAGCAGCGCAGAAGGGCCAAGCGATCTCCCAGGGGAATAAACACATTGTAATTGATCATGGGAGGCTTCCTACATCCTCTGGAATACCTATGAAGCACTGTGGTTTTCCAAGAGGCCTACAAACTCTCAGCCTCTGCCCAGAAGGCAAAGGAGACAGAAAAGCAAGAGCAGGGGGGGAAAAAGGAGCAGCTTACACAGTAGCCAAGTTTCACCACCGCACCTCAAGCTACCAACAAGCAGTCACAGATGCACAAGTACAAACACTGACTTTGGAGACATGTGATGTATATAAAAGCCCACATGTTGAGCTTTCTAAGCCTCCAAAACAAGTAAACGCACCTCAGGTTTGTTTCTGTAAACACATTGCTGCAAAAAGCACTTGCAATTTCAGCAGTATGGAAATAAGTCCTTACCACCGGATTGCTGTTCCCCTGTTGGCACTTACAGAGGCCGTGGAAGGGCAGCGATGGTTCCCACTGCCTTCTGTTTAGCAGCAACAAAACCTCTGCAGCTGCACTGCTAAAAGGAATACACTTTGTGGTTTGCTTTTCTGAGAATCTCTGCATTCAAATAATACTTTCTTAGCAGCAAAGAACTTCATTAAGAGTCTAGAAGCAGACTATGTAATCTATTTTATTTAGAATCTTTACATCTTAGATGATGCAAATGCTGTTTTCCAACCACACGTGCAATTTTTTACAACTGCAGGTCCCCTACTCTCCATGGAACAGCTCAGAACTGAAGTTCTGTATAAGGAAAAGTTTCTGACTGTGATTGTGATTTGTTATTTGTTAATATAGCGAGGGCATTAACAGTAACATGACAAGTAATTCTCCAAGCCAAGAGGACTTCAACACTGAAGAAAGATCTGTCATGGAAAAACTGAAGCCCTGAAAGGTGAGAAAATGTAAAAAGCTTCCCTACAGCAATGACCTGGGCTGTCCAGAGCTGGGAAGTCATTTGCACAGATGTGGCCCCACCGCGCTGTGTAGATCACCACAGCCAACCTCAATTTCCACTTCCTGTCATCTGATGTGAATGCGAGACAAACCAGCAGCTCCCCCGTTTCCTTTTCCTCCACTCTTCCTCCTGGCACCCTGAGTGCTATTCAAACACAGGCAAGGCTTCCTCTGAACAATGCTGTCCCAAGGATACTGCGAAGGTACTGGGCCACATGCGAAACCTATTACTGCGAAGAATTTTGCCCCACTGGGAGTCAGGAGGAGTCTGTAACAACAACTCCTGCACACATTGTTTTCTAGGTGAGACTCATCAAGATGGGATCCTAGACAAGAGGTAGAACAGCTGAGGAAGTTGAACACCCGCTATTACACACCCGTGGAAAATGAATGGTCATTCAAAGGCTACTGGAAACAAGGTAATATGTATGTGTAACCCTAGAGATGGAAATTACATTTTTGCCTGTCCAAAATGTTGAAAAGTCTCAAAAGTCTTCACAAACAGGAATGGGCAGAGGAGGCAGTCTCACTCTGCTTGCCACGTGGGAGACATAACTAAAGTATGGGTTCCCCCCCACCCCCAGGACAGGAGCACTGAGAAGTGACGTGGACAAACGGCTGTGCCACAGCACACCTCCTACCCCACTGCCAGCAGTGATCATTTGGCATCAGAAGTGTCCCGAGGTGATGTCCTACATCACAAACAGATACGGTGGCAGCTCACATCCTTCCAGCTGCTGAGAAAACCCTCAGCAGGCTTCTAACACCATCTTCTCCCACCCAAGCAAACATTACTGGTAAGGAGAAACGCCCACGAGACGATCCACCATACCCTGGAACGTAGGGTATGGCAGCATTCGAGATCTTTTGAGGCTCCCATCGGAGTCACAGTTACTCAGTATGTGCTCGATAAGCCATCGACTTGCAGGCTGTAATTTGTGGGCAGCCTTACATCTGTAAATTCCTATTACTGCAGCTTGTGCTCAAATGTGTACGTTACCTATTAACTCCCTAGCGCTTGATTGCAGCTATAGGTTGCTCTCTAAATGGAAGTCTTGGATTAATTTGAGACTTTCTGAACTCATTTCTGCTCGAGAAAGTCACAACCAGTTATTAACCCTGCTAACAACTCAATCAACTTTACTCCACCTTAAACAAGTCTAACATACAAATTGCAGGGGCAACCCTTTAAAATCAGATAGAAGCAGCAAATGAAGAAACAGCAGTTTTCAGGTATGTTTTCAGTCATGTGATTAGTAACCTCAACAGGGATAATTGCAATGAGCAACTACGAGCAGAGAGGTAAGCCCTCAGGATAAGAAAGTAAAGGTCAAGATGATTTATAGAAACTTACTGGCCTGACACAGAATTGCACCCTCACTCTCTACATTGACAATGTGTTAAAAGAAACTTCCTCATGTTTTTATTCACAAAGAAATGGAGATTACGATACGGTGCACAGGACAACATAGCCATTTTTAAAGCAAAACCAAAAGCAAGACACAGAATTATAAAGCCTGGAATAAGTGACAAGCACTATCACTCATCAGTGGACAAACTTTAAATGTTTAGTAGCATGGAAGCACTTCAGGTCTGATGACCCTGGGGAATGAAGGCCCTTACCCACAGCTGTGATGCTGCTCTAGACCCGGTCCCCAGCAGCGAGGGTCCCAGGGCAGCCGTGCCCCATCCCAGGCTGAATTCATGCCGCTGCAATAGGGTACTCAAAAAGAAACATCCCACCCATGGAAGAAACAAGAACCTACAAAACTCATTTCACCCAAGCTATGAAAACAGTAAATTTTGCCATATAAAGCTATTGCTTGTCTGGCCTCAATGCAGAGGAACAACCTAGACTTAAAGGTTCTTTAAAAATACCACTAACGATCATCCCAGGAAGCGAAGAATCAGACACCCACTATTCTTCCCCTCACACTAACCCAGTTTCCTGAGCCTTCAAGGACCTGGCAAACAGCACGCTCCAGAACTCCTATATCTAATTTTACACGGTCAGTGAACGTGGCCAAACCAGAGTAACGGAGCTGTAGGATAAAAATGGTAATTAATGCAGACACCACGCAAAGCTGAATGGCTGAAAAGCACAATGCATTAATGATTCCATTTAGAGGCTACTAGAAAACTGCTCTGTTAAGATGAACCACGTTTAGAATAAAAACCTAGCACCTGCACACACACAAAAAGAAGCAGGAAGAAGAAGTATTCCATGACAGTCACGTACAATAGTTAATCAGACACACTTATTTCTTAGAAGCGTATAAACCCCAAATTGTTGTTGTTAGTTTTGTGTTTTGTTTTTAATACAACCTACTAATTTCTCAGTGCACTATCCAAATATTGGACAGCAAGTCGTATTTCCTTGACAATTCAGTTGTTCAAATGTTACGTTTGCTCAGAAGATAGTTATCTGTATTTGGAGAAAAGACAAAACACACACAAGTTTGATTGATGCACTGATCCACCATAAGCAGCCAGTCACACCACACCCTACCTTGTTACTCGAGCGAGTAACTCTCCTCTGCTCAACCCACGTGCCACTGCCAACACCGGCAAAATAACAACACAAGGTTCCTGGTCACCCTGAAAACCTCAAACCTAAAATTCTAACCTTGCCCTAGTTTAGAAAATTAGGATGTTTTCAATCCCTGGGCTTCCAGCCCAAGTGATGGCTCAGAAGATACCACACCCTACCTTGTTACTCGAGCGAGTAACTCTCCTCTGCTC